TTCCGTATGAACGATCGGTGAGCGCCCCACTAACATACATATTTTCAAAGCCGAAATATGCCCCATTTCGGGTATAAGTGTGAGCACAATGTGGTTACCGACCAATCGTGTAAATGATGCATATTTTTATGCATTCAACAAACTATATTTGAATTAATGGGTACAGACAACAATTAATTTGAAAATGCATGCTAAATAAGTAGTTATTTTCCGAGTATGGTTTCTGCATGAGGTCTAAAAGGAGTCCATTCAAACTGTAACATCCTGGCGAGTCCGAATTACTATAGCGTTATGCCGTATGGCAATCAATGTTACAACCCCACCTAAGTAATCCTTCCTAACCGAAAACTCCATGCAGAATTTCGACCAACATTTCATGAGACCGGTCACGCTCTGTATCTGCTTTGCATGCCCCATTTTTATCCACTGTGGATGGAGGCCTATTGGGTAAACATTTTGGAATGACACTTACAAAATGATATCTATCGCGCTCGCTCTGTCTTTAACACAGGCGAAAGAACGAATGACGTTATATAAATGCGACTGACAGAGATAGAGATCCGGCCTCGATGATGCCTTCTAGATCAGACATGATCGCAGCCGTACCATGGGGAAGAAGAGAAAGACATGAGGGGCAGTCCTACATACATCCTGTCAAGCTGGATGACACGAAAACCATATTTTGATGTGGAGGCGGTTCTGAGACCTCAATTAAATCAACATGAAAATATCCGGCTGAGTCCCGAAGACGAGTCTGAACCTTCACAAGATCATGCAATATTTCGACACAAAATTGCATTTTGCATCAACCGCGACCGACCTGATACGCGAACCTATGAGAAGAGACCTGGGTAAGATCGCAGTTATTAGCCAGACATTGTGCTGATACTGTCGACGTACGTACTCGTTGTCAGTAGGTTCCCGTTAGGGTCACTGTTAATGTTAAGGTTAGGGCTAAGGTTAGGCTTAAGGTTGTGTTCAGACTTAAAGTTAGGGCTAGGGATAGGCTTAAGGTTGGTGTTAGGGTTATTGCTAGGTTTTGGGTTAGCGTTGGGTCGTAGGATTTTGGTTACGTTTCGGTTTTGAGACTTAGGGTTAGGCCTTACGGTTGCCGTCAGCGGTTGGATTTTAGGGATAAGCGTGGGGTTTACATTTCTGCCATTATTCCCCCTACTTATAAATTCACAGCACTTTCTCTGGTAAATATACTTTTAACCAGAAACAGCAGAAACAGCCCTTCCATTTACCCCACCTATATAACCCTCTTTCCCACCATTGCCGTACGACAGGGACCTGGCTGTCCGCCTCCCCATTTCTGGCTACCAACTGCGATCTAACCGAGACCTGCATTGGAGTTGGACAAAATACAGAGCCCTCTTAAGACTGGGCATGGTTTCATTGATATTGCATCCACAGTTGAATAGTGTTACAGGTCGATGCGCCCTGTCCGTCAGGACTAATTGCACATGTATCTGCATTTATGTTCTGCCAGATAATATTGGGCATTTTGCAATTTTAAAAATCCAACTGCATCTTCTCCTATCGGAATCATTGTAGAGCGTGCATGTTCAATCCCCATGAACTTGGTGGACACTGAGGACTGCTCGTCTCCTCCCTCCTTCCGAATTGGCCTCAGCAGGGCTCGCCGCAAAAATCAAATGTTTGGTGCCTACGAGGAGGCCCTTTCCGTCCCCATCCGCTATCTGCGCCAGGCGCCTACGAGTCAACAATATCCTGCTCATTCCCTCCCTCCCATCCTCGCCTCCGCCATCACTGATTGCGACGTCTTAAGCGAAATGCTTGTTCTCCATGGCGGCTTCGTGTTGCGTGCATTCAAAAGGCGACATCTTGGTGAGTCCGAAATAGTATAGCGTTATGCCGTATGATAATCAATGTTACAACCCCACCTAAGTAATCCTTCCTAATCGGAAACTCCATTCAGAATTTCGATCAACATTTCATGAGACCGGTCACGAGATGTATCTGCTTTGCATGCCCCATTTTTATGCACTGTGGATGGAGACCTATTTGCTGAAAATTTTAGAATGACACTTGCGAAATGAGATCTATCGTGCTCCCTCTCTCCCTCTCCCTCTCTCTAACACAGGCGAAAGAACGAATGATGTTATATAAATGCGACTGACAGGCAGAGAAGGCCTCGATGATGCCGACTAGATCAGGCATGATCGCAGCCGTACCATGGAGAAGAAGAAGAGTTAGACATGAGGGTCAGACCTACACACATTCTGTCAAGCTTGATGACACGAAAAACATATTTTGATGTGGAGGCGGTTCTCAGACCTGAATTTAATCACCATGAAAATATCAGACTGAGCCCCGAAGACGAGACTGAACCTTTAAGAGGTCGTGCTACATTTGGACACAAGATTGCATTTTGCATCAACCGCGACCGACCTGGTACGCAAACCTACGAGAAGAGACCTGCATTGGAACAGGACGAAATACGGTGCCCTCTTAGGATTGGACATGTCTTCATTGATATTGCATCCACAGTTAAATAGTGTTACAGGTCGATGCGCCCTGTCCGTCAGGACTAATTGCACATGTATCTGCATTTATGCTGTACCAGATAATATTGGGCATTTTGCAATTTTAAAAATCCACCTACAGCTTCTCCTATCGGAATCATTGTAGAGCGTGCATGTTCAATCCCCATGGACTTGGTAGACGCTAAGGACTCCTCGTCTCCTTCCGAATTGGCCTCAGGGCCCGCCGCAAAAATCAAATGTTTGGTGCCTACGAGGAGGCCCATTCCGTCAGCATCCGCTATCTGCGACAGGCGCCTAGGAGGCAAGAATATCCTGCTTATTCCCGTGGGCCCCTCGTCGCCACCATCACTGATTACGACGCCTTAAGAGAAATGCTTGCTCTCCATGGCGGCTTCGTGTTGCGTGTATTTACAAAGTGATGTAGATGTAGATCAGGATACACCTTTAAAGTCGCATGAGGAAATGCGACATACAATTGACGCAGATGCCGTCGACCACAATACGTAGCCAATTTGTACACTCTGAAGATTGGGTGGGGATGCTAGCATACAGAGATCGCTCATTGGCACACACGTCAGAAAAGTATTGCTTTTAAGGCACGTCTGGAAAGTGAACTGCTTTGCACACACACCTATGTCCTACAAGGTCCTGGGATTCAATAGCCTTCGATGTTTTCATTGATCCTTGATGGCGGACTGGAGTGGGAGTTTGAGACGTCGCAGTAGTATCATGCTAGATTTGGGTCTTTTCTTCTGCAAATATCTTACCTGGCTTGCAGGTAGTTACACATCTCACGCCTATAGATAAGGATAAAACGGACAGTCAATCTGTCGACCGTATTCTCCAAAATGACAGCCCGCAGTGAACCCTGTCCCGATAATGTTAGGCAGTGATGCACTACCTGGACTTCCTCCGAAAATTGCAGCAAATGTCCCTTTTTCTGAATGATGGAAAGCAGATCAGCGCCGTACATCAGTATGAATGTAATCTTAGAGCACTTTATGCAAAAGGAGGATTTCGCCCGGTCGTCGCTCACGATCATTCATTTCTAGATGCTTGCTTGCGGAGATAATGCTGCTTGAGGGTACTGTGTGACGGATACACGACAAAGCCTTCGTGCTGTGTGCACACTGGTGTAAACTGTGCATGGCAAAGGTGTCTTACGTCTGTTGACAACGTAATTCTCTCCGTCCCCATCATCCATTCCTTCCTGCCTGCAGGTTTACTGTGATGGACTCTCATTCGTCGGACTGCGTTCTCAGCATTCCACCCTCAGCCCGCGACTGGAGTGATCCCGAGGACCTGCTGTAGGATGCCAGACATGACGTGAATTTGATACAGCAGTTGGGCCAATTGCCCATCTCCTGCGTCGGCTGGTCAGAGGGCGACCAGTTAGCCATCCAGGCAGCATCAGACTTGAATTTCGACGGTCAGCCGCGTTTTCATTGGCCAGTTCTGCTGGTGGCGCATTCGGCTATTTGTCCTCTGACACCAACCTCGTGTCACCTGACATTGCGATTTAATGATCTGTGTCTGTTCTCCTCATACACTGTTTCTGTTAATGCTGACGAGTACTATAATAAAAAGCGCGATAAATGCACCGAAAGATGTGCTATTTTTTTCCCAAATATTGGGATGTGTCATCTGGTTGAAACGGTTGCTGAAGTGGATTTGGAAGAGGCGACGCCAGAAGTCGCATTCTGCCAAGCTATCTCATTGGCTGTTGCCTGCTGATTTGCAAAGTCACGTGGATATCTTTTGAAAGCAGGACGAAATACGTACGAGACCGTTTTGCTCAGAGCTGCGAGCTAGAGCGTCCACAGATAGTCGCACAGCAACCCACCTTCATATATCAGACCTCTTCTGATTGTCATTGGGGTGTTTCTGTTTATTAAGGGAAAAACCATTGATATGTGTGAAGGTGAAAAAGGAATTTTGTACATAACCGCGGACAGCTGCCAGCTAGCCGATAAATAGTAATCATTAACGGTTACTTCCTAATTGCAAGTAGCACAGGCACACACGTTAGTGTCGGGTTACGTGAGTGGATGTGAGGCCGGTGATTGGGAAGCATGATAAGCGTCAAGTCTACACTTCAAACAATTCACACAGGAGGCAACTACAACATCGGTAGGCAGGGCATTACACGCTGCAAATACTCTGTTACTGAAAAATAACCTTCGTCCATTGATCCTTTCTTTCCCTGCGCGTAGATTTACGGGAAGACCGCGCAAAGTGGGCGTGTTAGCTTGAGTAAAATAATCAGTGGGATCTAAACGATAGTCTATGCCGTTGATAATGCGAAATGTGAATATAAGGGAAACAGGTTGAGAGTTGACAGTCTGGTTTCATAGGGCAGTGCTCCCAGACCTCGTGAATGTTTGTTCTTGACTATTGAAATACTACTTTGTCGTTTAAATGCAACTGCGCCTTTGGACTTAGGCGTACGTCTGTGGGTATACCAGCTAATAATAATTGGACGTGGTCTTAGCTATGTGATGAATTAGGATATTGGATAAGGATCTTTATCAGTTAGTGGAATAATGAAATATTTTTAGGAAGAGGTAGGCACATGGGAATGAAGGAGGCATTGGTGGTAGCTGTGAGAACTGAACTATGGCTAGCTCACGCGTTACCCGAAAGGGGCGAGGTGTGATGGGCAGGCGGGAGGTTGGAAGTGAGCGTTGACGCACTGGCCCAGAAATCTGCACGGCCCATCCACGTGAGCCACACAGGACCAGTTTGAATTCCGTTTAAAGTGGGAAACTGAGAGGTGGGGCTGACCGTGACAAGCATCGCGCTCACATCTCCAACCCGATCTCAGTGTGACACACACACACACCAGTTGAAATCCGGCAGGGACTAGAGCGGGGATAGATGATAATCCACAACTAGTTGGAAGCTAACCCCCTATCAACTGTGGGGAGGGAATTTCACATAAACCGAAGAACTATATATACATGGGGATAATAGTGGATGCGTTGTGAAACCAAGTCAGTCAGGACATGTGGCGTTGATTTTTGCGGCGTATTTCCCTGTCGTGTTGGCAATCATGGCGTCGAAGATTCGTCTTCGGTGCCATTTCGAATAGATTTTCTCAGTCCACACCAAGATCAATTCGCCGTAGCAATTGGAACGTGAGTAAAAGCTCACCGACGTCTTGTCGATAGTGGAGACGATAAAGGAGAATAGGTCCATGCTCCGTTGCATCTCCTCTTCCGAGGTGGTATTCAGGGCGCAGTCGTCGGCGAAGAGGAGTTCGTGAAGGGTGGTTGTGGATACGCGCGAATGGAAGTGCATCCGCCGTTGGTTCAGCAGGTGACCGTCCGCCCTGTAGGCGATGCGGATCCCGGGGCGTTCATCACGGTAGGCGTCCATTAGCATGGCAGAGAACAGAAGACGGAAGAGGGTAGGCGCCAGCATGCATCCCTGCTTCACTCCGTTGGTCACTGCCAATGCCTCTGACACAGCTCCGTTGTCCGTGACTCGCGCCATCATACCGTCGTGCAGCTGACGCACCATCTGAGTGAATCGCTCTGGACATCAAGATCAATTCGCCGTAGCAATTGGAACTTGAAAAAAGCTCATCGACGTCTTGTCGATAGTGGAGACGATAAACGTTTAAGGCTGTCAGGCGCTATTCGTACGTCAAATATTTCAGTTCAGGGACAAGCTATCTAGCACGTCCTTGCACACCACCTTCAAGATGAGCTATGCACTCCCGAAGTAACGGACGCCGAGCCTGTACCGCATATTCCATGTGTGTCCACACAAATGTTCCCCATACCTCACCGAAGATATCCGCATCCACGTCATAGAAGTTGACGTTGTGTGCACTGCGATTTTACGCACACATCGCCTTTACTGAATTCTTCACGCACATGTTGATCGCAACTAATTATGCGGTTATTCTTCTTATCAACCTCATCTCTTCACTTATCAGGCTGATCACATCCCTGCAGATCATATATACGCCTTCCACACACTACCAATTCCCTAACTGCACACCACCTACCAGACTCCACTGGTGATGAGGGAGATCTCGCTCCGTCGAGAGTAATCCGACGGTCACATCAAGGCTGAGGCATGCAGTCTGACCCAAGGTCCAGAGAAGGGGGCGTGTTATGCCGCCAGTTTGCACAACGTCAAGAAACAACTGTTTGCTAGTCCTAATAATCAATGCAGAGCTCATTTTCCGTTTAAAGTGAAAACATTAATAGACGGAGACGACTTCGACAGTCATCACCGACTCTTCTCCAACCCCATCTCGGTTGCTTGCTCGAGTCAGGCTGTCTGGGAATGAGGAGACTTGGTACAGTGGCTGAGATTACCTGACAGTCCTATTTACGCTGTGGGAAACATGGGAAGCAATAAAACCAAATCCGACAACACATTCAAATATTAAAGACAAATTGGACATTTTTGGTTGCATTTATCGCGAATTTTATTTCAATACCTATCGACCTTAACATTAACAGTGTGTAAGGAATACAGAGAATTAAATCGAGACGTCAGGCAAGAGGTCGGTAGACACGGGGTTGATGTCAGCACCCATAATGTGGACATTGCCGGACAAATAACTAAATGCGTCACCAGCAGCACTGGCTAATCAAAATGCAGCTGACCGTCAATATTCAACTCCGATGCTGCCCGGATGGCTGACTGAGCGCCCTCTGACCAGCCCACGCAGGAGAAGGGGATATGACCCAGCTGGCACATCAAATTCACGCCAAATCGGGCATCCTGCAGCAGGATCTGCGGATCACTCCAGTCGCGGACGGGGGAGTGCTGGAACCGTAACCCGGTGGATCAAAGCCTATTGCAGTAAACCCAAAGGGGGGGGGGAGGGTGAGGGTGGACAGACACACCAGCAGGCAGTTCTCTGGAACTTGAGCCGTGCATAGTTGACGCACTCGTGCTCATGGCCTGAGGGGGGATGGTACTCTACCGGTTACAGGGTACTGCCATGCAGCACTATCTCCGCGACATTTGCCCCCAAGGCAGACCACGCAATGGATATGCTGCATAGCCACGGGGAACTACATCGGAGTCTGGCAGGCCTTATTGACGATGCTCACCTCATAACACATGCCGCATTTGGGGTGTGACGGCACGTCCAGTTCGTAAGAAGACACAACACCAAGCCCCACTGGAGGACAGGCATTTATGTTATGACGTAGTGATAAGTGATTACAGAGACGAGGATGGCGAGAAAGAGGACAATATTGTTGGATCCCGGGCGACTGGCGCAGATAGCGGATCCAGGTGGAAAGAACCTCCTCGTAAGCACCAAACATTTGGTTGATGTGGTGATCCCTGAGGCCAATTGGAGAGGAAGGAGGTGATGCGTCGTTGCTGAAATTGCTAACGAAAGGACGCAGTAGTCGACTACAGACGAGCAGTCCTCTGCGTCCACCCAGTCGATTGGGCTTAAACATGCACTTTCTGCAATGATTCTGGTAAGAGAATATGCAGTTCGATTTTTTAAGATTGCAAAATGCCAGCACAAATGTCTCTGCGCTATCTGGTACCGGACATGTGACGTCCACGCAAAAAACCTCACATCTCGACTTCCGCTCTCCTGAGCGGAAGCTTTCCTCTGATCACAAGAAAAAAAGCCAACTTACGGCAAAATGGCCTGTGTACAGAATAAGCCAGTTCTCACTATCTCTTGACTTCTGACATTAGACAGAACGAACTTATTGTGTGTGATTAAAGTTTATGTCACAACCTTGACCCGACATATTGAGCAGGCTCGGGGACTGGTCGAAGCGCTGACTTATGCCCTCCAACGTAAGTAAGAAAAACTTTCTTCATGTCGGCAGCTACAGGGACTCCAAGCCCACGAATTACTTTCTAAACGGTACACCATTGCAGCAGGTTGACATTCAGAAATACTTGGGTGTGTGAATTACATCCGCATTCTATCCAATACTGAACTACGCGAGGGCGGTCAATTCGGCCATGTCTATATTACAAGTCATTAGGTAAGCTTTGAGGCGGAGAAGTTCAGGGGGCTTGCGGTCGGCCAAACCTTCCTCTTCTTCTTCTTCTTCTTCTTCTTCTTCTTCTTCTGTTACGAGTACATGGTTGCGTTGACGATCAGAATGTGGAGTGAGTCGAAGGGGCTCGGTGTAAGGAGCATCAGTGGGATGGTCGCATAAGAAAGTTTAAACCTCTGAGAGAATGGTGGGTTGGTGGGGGGGAAGTGCCTCAGTTAGTCTGAGTTGTCCTGGCAGAGAAAACGGTGGCCCCGATGCGGAAAACGTAGAGTTCTGGGGCCTGCTGCCTAAATTCTAGAAGGGACAAAGTGACTCCACGGAGAGAAATAGCAGCATCTGCGGGTGCCGTGGGAGACATCATTGAATGCAAAATCAGGATACAGAACACAGAGAAGGTAAATAGACGCCAGAAGGTAAGTGTTAGCAGCGTGGACGTCGGAGGTCACCACTGGTGCAATTTGAGGCTGACTCGAGAGTTCACAATGGTCGAGGACAGGACAAATTTTCCCGAATCAGAAGTCAGGGAAGACGGATTGGGTTGGACAATCTTTCCTGCCGAGGAGGTGCGTACAGAAGGCCCTGCAAGCAGTCGCCGCGAGCTGTCACTCCAGGCAAGTTGATTGTGTCTGCGTCTGTTGTTGAGGTTGTCGAAAGTAGCTTGAAAGTTACACACTCGGTACGGTAGTAGACCTAACTAAGGAAGGAAGGGTAATGACCCTACCACCGGTCTCGTATTACAGATGGCTGGGGTTTGTTTACTTCGGGTGGAGCTGCATAGCCACACCTGATCGGACCCATTTTACATGAAACAGTCGAGAAGACCGGAGGTGGGAGAGGGCGCAGATGGTTGACACGACCAACATCCGCACCCCGGCTTACCCACTACACCCGAATCGCGTCCCACGGAGTGACAGTGCCATAGATGCCGTGTTAACAAGGAGCCATTTCAGCCTCACCCTCAGCCCATCAGTCGGCCTCTCCGCACAGACGCACAACGCCTGGTTGGCTGTGAGTTATCCCGTCAGTTGTCAATTCTCCATGCCACGGCTTTATAGCGCACCGTGATAGTTTGGAGCTCGTCAGATTGGCTATAGGGAGGAATATGTGCTGAGACCAGGATTATCTTACTCCCTCAGTCTCAATCGCACACCGAGCTGGCCAGGTGGCAGTGGACGCAGTGACTGACAAATGTAGTCACTTAGTCTGGGCGTTGTACACACGAGACCTGACCCATTCCTCCTTCCCCCCCCCCCCAGACATAAGCACCAGGATGTCACACATGGGGAGGGGGAGGCTGGCGACATGAATTTCATGCGTATGTGTTTGTGTGTGTGTTGGTGGGTGGTGTGTGGGTGTGAAAGTGTCAGAGGTCACGTCGAGAAGGAGGTATTGCAGCCCGACTCTCAGTCCACCAGTCTGCCACTGCGCACAAACGCACGTTGGGCTGAATGCAAGGCTTGAGTTCCATCGGTAGTTGGCAGTCTTACGGGTCATCATTATCATCAACGTACCCTGACAGTCTCAGGCTCCGATCACACATGCAGCGGAGGGGCCACAGGGAGTAGGAGCAGGAAAACACTTGCCACCCACGAGGAGAGATGTGCCAACCACGTGCTTTTGTCGTGTGGTGTCGAGTGTGGTCGTGTTTAGAGTAGATGCTGGTGAGGAGGGATGTGGTGGTATGGTATCGCCGGCCTCACATCACGACATCCGTTCACCTGAGCGCCAAGCCGAGGGCGGTGCGTGCGTGCGTGCACACATGACCTTTGTCCGCCTACAATCCCGACCAGAAAATGACACAACGTCGATTGGCGTGAAGCCGTCTCCACAACGTGGCCAAGTCACGTGTGTTGCAAACAGCATCCCATTGGTAGGTGATATTTAGGCTGACAGAAGGCGTCATGAGGGCATAACCAGACTGACGACTAGGAGAACGGACTGCCACAGGCACACAAGCTCGCTATGTTCGAGCTTCGCGAGGCGATAATGTTCTTCGACGTGACACTGCTCCTTGCATCCATCTCACCGCAGTTGGTGTGCAAGGCTATGCGCTGCGTCCTGCATGGAAGTATGGCAAATCACGGGCATGTCTTTACTGATATTGTCATCATATTTAAGTAGTCTTACAGGCCGATGCCTCCCGTCATTCTGAGTAAATTGCACACATATATCTACATTTATGCTGCACCAGGTAATGCAGTGACATATGTGTCGATGGTTTGCAATTGACAACATCTAACTACATTTTCTTCTTTCTGAATCATTATAGAAATTGCATGTCTATGCTCAATCGTATTATTGGACGCAGAGGACTGCTTGTCTTTGGTCGATTACTGCGTCCTTTCGTCGGCAGTTTCAGCAACGTCTCATCTCCTCCCTCCTCTCCAATTAACCTCAGGGATCACAACATCAGTCACATGTTTGGTGCGTACGATGAGGTTCTTTCCATCCAGACCCACTATCTTCGTCAGGGCCTAGGAGCCAACAATATCCTTCTATTTCCCGGTCCATTCGGCTCCATCAGGACTGATTACATGGACTTCCTGCAGCGTCTGAACCTAAACGAGTACGTTCCCTGGGGCTGCTTGGCACTGTGTGTTTTGACCAACTGGTGTAGATATAGACGGAGATAGGTGTAGAAAGTCGCACTAGGATACATCATATAGAAGTGGCCCAGTAGCCGACGACTACACTATGTACGCTGTTGGTTCACACTCACGATTGGGTAGACCAGTTTGGTAAGCGTGAATATTCGTATACAACAGTCATTGTGATGTCTGCAAAGCAGGATGTTGTGATGAAACTAGCAAATCTGCCACTACACACACAGTTATGATCATCAATGAAGGATGCTGAAGGGAGACCATCTGTCACGATTATCCATACATGCTCTGGATATTGGATACAAATCTACTAAATTTATGCTCGAAGGAAGGGTATAATTCGGCTTTGAAAAAGTTTCTAATTGTTGGACGTTTAATATCGTTTAAAATCGAATTATACCTTTCCCTCGAGCACAAAATTAGAAGAAGGTGTAATTATCTACCGAATGAGCAGAAGAATGAATACTTTTGTGCATGTTTTCCATAAAATACAATTGGACTATTCGGGGCATCGAAAGTCAATGAGAAAATTTTATGCTAAGTAAGTAGTCATCTTTTACAGAGTGCAGTTTTTGCATGCAGCCGGATGGAAGTTCATTCGAAAGTCGGCATCCTGAGGTGACTGAACTATCATGTTGCAGACTAACTAGTTTTACAACCCTACTTAATTAATCTTTTCGAAACGAAAAAGCATTTCGAAATTGCCGTTGACATTTCATCAGTTAGTCCACCTACTGTAATTCATGCATGCGTGTAGTCTGGAGAGGTTCTCTCGGACGTCACGTTTTAAAATTTAGCGGACTCGCCCGCCAGTTGTACGTCTGACGGCGACGACGACGACGACAACGACCTATGGCAATAAGTTTTAAAATATCCGAAACAAAGTTTGTTGTTTCCTCAATTGACTTCTTCAGCATGAACATATACACACGCAAGGACGGAGGAACGTCAACGTCTGTGATGACTGCACGTGGCCTATGAGAACATCTTCGTTTACAGTATGCCAGATTATCTGGACACACAATAACCCTTATTGCGCGCACATTTTTGATACAGGTTCCCCAGCTCATTGTCAGACTTACGGGACACACACAAAAACAGTTCACCCTTTAACCCTGTTGAAGAAGTGATTCTGCAGTTGGCTGAAGCTTGCGCCATTGCACGTCGATTGCATTTCTTCATGCCCTCGACACGGGCTATATTGGCTTTCATTTGTCCCTGAGGAATTTGTGAGTGGCATCTAAACCGAGATGCCGATTGATGCAGGGCACAGTTGATTGAATTACTTCCAGGGATTCACGGCGTAGCCATATTGGTAGATGGATGAAAACTATAAGAGTGTTCTCCCATGGGCAAGATGGTCCCCCTCTCCTCATCATCGCTAACTGACGTTCATCTACAGGGTTTCAGACAGATTTCCCAGTTCGGCATCAAAACTGGCACATGGGATCTTGCATACAACGTCTATTCTTTCAAAGGGAATTAATTTACCCTGGAGAGTTTTACTAGAGAAAGAGGTTGTCACAGTTGAAAAGTGAGTTTTTGTCTGATTCTAGCTATGGGAATCAGTTTGCTGTCACAGGCGTTATTTTAGAGAGCCAAATGTTTTATCGATTGTTAAAGGTCAGATTAGCAGGTCTGTGCGTTTTCGTCCCCTAAAGTGCAGTAATGATGCATAGGGGGAATGGGTTGTTTAAAAGGGCCGACATCGTTTTGTCATTTGATGAACTCTATGTTTTGACACCAAAATGACTCTCACCGAATAGTCATGTTCAGTTTGGAACATATGAAATATTGATTGTCGCGCGGTCTAGTTTCTGCGCATGCGTAATTTAGAAATGGAAGGAGAAAATCATCGGCAAAATATCAGTGTTCTGAGTGATCGAAAGCATGTAAACACATAACGCAGAGTTTGTCTTTATATGCAATCCATGCAGTACACTGCACATTTCAAGGTATGCAGGGATGTCTCAAGGCTGATCTGAAATTCAGCGTAATCTAGAACAAACAAGACGTCCGAATTAGTTTTACGGAAGAAAAGTCCTGACAACATGTGCTCTTATGAAAACTGTTATTCCCATGGCATGCCCGTTGGCGAAATCAAGTGAAATCCTCTAAAAGAATATTTAAATGTGAAATTTGCTAAAAGACCACTTTCAGACGTCAGTCTTCAAGTACTGCTTAATATACTCGTTTTCTGTATGAACAGACATTCCGTATATCTAGAACTGGATTTTACACGATTGCAGCCATCTTTGACTTTTTCGGAATTTTCTGCTTTTCTCAAAAAATTATATTTCTAAGCAATCTACCATTATCTTTGATTAATATTGACATAGGGTGCATGCATTGGTGTCGGTTAGCGAGTAATTAGCAGTCTTTTGTATATTTCGGCACCTTGCATCACTTGGGTCACATAGTTTACACTATTTTCCCCGTAAGACACCTTATTTTCCTCATGCACACACGCGCATATGTGTAGAGTAGTCGTACTGCCTGTGATGAACAATCACTCCATCTCTCGAAGGCGCAAATTCGCTTTCGGTCGCGTATCGATCTTGTGCCCAGTGGGTGATCCAATTTCACGCCAAGTACTGGAGGCGTGACAGTCAAATGCCTGTTGACTTAGTCAGCAGAAATAGGGAACAGGCGCCGGCAAACGAAGCACTACGAGAATGAATCAATAGCGTCACTCGCGAAGGAGGATGTGTTTGAAGTCGGCCTGAGCAACATGCATTCATTTGGCCTTCGTGGTGGACACGAGGGAGAGTTTTGAATGTGGGACTAGTAGCATGTTGTACTAGGGGCTGGTCTGCCCGCAATTATCCTACGCCACGGAGTTAGTCTATAGATGGTTTCTACGGGACAACCCTTTAGTGCCGTGTGCCCATTCGTGTAAGCCATGCACAACAGAAACGCCTTCCGCAGCCTGCTCACAAAGCACTTTTGTCCGTCTTCCCCCCTCCGCCCACCCCCTTTAGGTTTACCGCGATAGCCTTCGATCCGCCGGGCTGCGGTTTCAGCATTCCTCCCGACCGCGATTGGAGTGATCCGCAGATCCTGCTGAAGGATGCCAGAGTTGGCGTGAACTTGATGCGCCAGCTGGGTCATCTGCCCTTCTCCTGCGTGGGCTGGTCAGAGGGCGCTCAGTCAACCATCAGGGCAGCATCGGAATTGAATACTGACGGTTAGTTACATTTTGATTGGCCAATTCTGCTGCTGGCACATCTGCTTATTTGTTGTTCTAGAATGCACTTATTGTGGACGCAGACAGTGACAGTATGTCAAATGACCCGTTGTCTGGCGTCATGATTTCTTGACCTCTACTCCCTACACACTCACACACGCACACTACGCGCGGTGAATGAAACGAAACTAGTTCCGATTTCCCACAGACTACTGCGAATACCTGAAAGGACACATCAGGAAGCAGCCCTTTCAGCCTGACCTTCCGTTCTGGGAGGGACCAAGGTGTCCCGCCATGCTACCAATTTTTCACTTCAATGGGTCGCCTAGACAATTAATTTCTCCCGAACATGAAGGCGGGATGATGTGAAATGCTATGTGTGTGTGTGTGTGTTGTGTTGTATGGAGTGGCGGACTGGTGGGCTGGGCTGGGAGACGGGCTGAAACAGCACCTTCCACGGCGCTCTCACGCAAGTGAGAGCCACGCCGTTCAACCGCCGTTGTGTGAAATCCTGGTGTATGTGTTTGTATGGGGGGCCTGGTCGTGCACGTGGCGCACGCAGGCATGGCCAGTCGACCATGCCAGCCACCGCGCCCATTCCCACTCCAGTCTGCTGACCGGCTCGGACAGCGAAATGCTCTCATTATTTTGGGGTGTGTGTGATCAGCATGATACTGCCAAGTCTTTTCCATTTGCTACCTGCTTATTGTACGCAGACATATGAAGGAAACCTAATCCATGCATTCAGACTCGATTGAGGGCCTGGTGGTGTGGGACCTGGAGGGATATATTGGCGCAGAGGACGGATCGGGGAATGGTGGTCATATCATGGGAGGCAACCCCGATTCGGTGGACTCCTTGCCAGACAGCCGTCGTCTTCCGCTGCAGGCTGTTTATGGTAGAGCGTACATGCGGGATAGTTGGCCTGCCTACGTTGAGAGAAAGGAGCTCCGACGTATGGGTCCTGCCGATCTCCGCTGCCTGCCACAGCGTCTCCTCCGGATGCCCCTAATGCACATTGCATCTCGGCACTCCGAGGCGCGGCGACACCATGATGCCAACAGTCAATCAACTGAATCGGCTCTCCTCGCCTGTTCGTGCTGCTGTTCAACCCTCTGGCCCGACAAGTCTGACGCGGAACGGAAGGCTGGCTGGCAGCAGCCACACAAGTTGCATGCTGATTTCTTTCAGTCCTCTGTCGAAAACTTTATTCTCGAATCTATTCACTAGAATAAAATGATTCACGGTAAAGTGTCAAAGTATCTCGGAGGTTAGGCAGATCCTATTTGGTAGCCGTATGTGTTAGAGGTTAGGGTTAGGGACTGTGGTTAGGTGTCAGGGTTAGGGGTGAAGTTTGGGGGTTGGAGTTGGGGTTAGGGTTAGGGGTTAGGGTTGTGGGGTAAGGTTGGTGGTCGGAGTTAGGGTTAGGGGTTAGGCTGGGTCATGTCTACTGCAGGTAAGGCAACGAAATGTGATCCGACCGGCAGATTGTTTACGTTGATTCTGAGTGCCGGATAAGTGGACTACAGTGTGCGTGTGGGGGGGGGAGGTGGGGGACGAGGGGTTGCGGTGGGGTGGAGTGAATACTGCCGGCATAATCGCCCTGAGCACTGGAGCAGGGGACCCGAGGTCTTTCGAACAGAGTGGACCTCCCTTGCTGTTCACGCTACCTGACTGATGCTTGTTGTATGATAGACAGGACTGGTATACTGGCTGTTAGAAAGTGCTACGCAAACGGGTTCGAACTCTACTCCGAGACCTTTGCATACACTTATAGATTGGGACGAGATAAGTGAAGTGGACGCCAATTTTCCTGATACATTGAACGAGATCCCCAGATGCAAGAGATTACGTAGGCTGATGGTGATGCATATCCGGGACAGGGGGTGGGTGGATGCGCGGGTCATGTTTGCAGTCAGTACATACTGCACGCTAGGCTGACTTTTCATCGACTATCTTCTGGTGATGCACTACTGTGGATCTGCGGGTCTACATGCT